TTTTCAACCCAAACATCTGTTTTGAAAAGAAGAGGTCTTTTAAAACATTATTCTCAGCCAAATATTTCATGTCAAAACTGTGTTTCTGTTTTAAATCCATTTACATTTTGGTAGCAAAGTATAGAGTTGTAAAAGTTTTTTTTAGCTCCAAAGTGCTTTGATTTACTAATATTTGTCAAATTGGACACTATTCACTTCATTATCAATTTATTTCTTTGTGGACACTTGAAACATTGTCAAAATTTCTCAGAATGGAAATGTAGGGATATGAACCTTCAAAAGATTTAGTTTCAAATCTCTGCTTGACTGATAACGTGTGTCTTTGTTCATTTCAGTTTGAGGAAGTTTGCCAATGGTGTTTTAGTCTTGGCATACTAAAGAGTCTGAGTAGGCACAATAAGTTAGAGGTGAAACAACTTTGGAAAGTAGCTGCTTGAAACGGCCACATCAAGAGTAAAAACAGAGGTAAGTCTGTTGAACATCAGTCCAGGTAGTTAATTTTTGTCAATTATAGAGTTACTGGAGTGTTTCACAAGTACATTCAGTCAGAGTCATTTTATTTCTCTCTGCTCTTTTGCACTTTTAAAAATTAGTACAAATTCTTGTCTTTATATAGAATTACAGATAAATAAATTTTCTTTGTGTTCTATAATGAACTATTTTCATTTGTTATCTGTTATTGTTGTCTGTAAAATATTTTGTGGCAACTTTTTGTGTTGAATTCTGAACTCTTAGTATTCTTTGAGTGATCCTGAAAAGTTTGACAACTTTCTTTTCTTTGTTTACCTCATAAGAGTGACATAATTTATGAGTTATATTGATTATTTTTATCCTCACAGTAACCTTTTTTGCTGAGTTAAATAACCACAATAATAGCAACTTGTATTATTTTTCTTCCAGGTTATTGCAACAAGCCAGCATGAGTCTTTACGATTAACAAGGAGCTGCATCCTGCTATTTCCAAGTGACGCTTGTTATATTGGACAGTCAAACAAAGATGTAAGATTTTGTTTCCTTTTATTTAACCCGTCCAAATGTGGATGTAGGAGAATGTTTCTTTTGCAGTGATTAAGAATGAAACTGTAGGAAAATGAACCTTCAAAAGTCTTAGTTTTGTAAGTTTGCTTGAGTGGCCAAAGATAACATGTGTCTTTGTTCATTTCAGTTTGAGCAAGTGTGCACAATGGTGTTTTAGTCTTGGCATGTTAAAGAGTCTGAGACTGTTTTTATTGAGGGAAACATGGAATGGAATGCACATTATTTATTCCAGAAATATTTTCAGGTCAGTCTTCTGTTGCACTGATTAATCTATCTTTGTTTTTTCACTTTGATATTTATTCTGATATTGATTAAAATATTTTTTCCAGGGCCCTAGCAGTAGTGGCAGAGTTTTATTTTGAACACTGCTGTGTTGAAGAAAATGCTGTTATTTAGTGCAGTGAGTAAAGGTGAGTGCTGCCTCTCAATGTCTTTATTTTCTTTCATTCTAAAGTGGAAGTACTGAAATTTGTTTCTTTACCAGTGATTCACCTTGTTCAAAGTTGTGAGGTTTTGTCATTGATGTGAACGCTGACTGGACTGTGATGTTCGTCAATTTTTGTCTATGGAATAAGAGACAATTCTTTTGAAGCTCACGCAGCAATACCAAATTCCCAAATTACCTACCATGAACTTTGAGGCATAGCCACAATGTGTCGCCCAAGTACCAGAGAGGTGAGTGTTTACCAAAATTTAGTGGAATGTGACTACATTTCTTTATAGATCTGCATAGGTTATGCAAGGAAATGATTAGTCATAATTTTAAATCAAGGACCATAACATAATGTCACTTTTGAATGCTAGTTCTATAAAAAAATATCTCTATAATAATATCATGGCGAGACAATTGGATGGTTTGCTGCCTTCTTATTGTGATGCGCTTCTGAAATCTATCACAGTTCTCATTTGGGATATGATTTATAGATTCTTTGTGTACTTGTGGACAAGGATTTGGCTTTTAGAAAAAAAAAATAAGAAAAGAAGCATGACTCAATTTTAGTTTTCAAACAAATGTCATAAGTACTTTTTTTTTCTGATGTTGATTCTATGTGACATTTTGGTTCCAATCCATGTGGACATTTTTTTAAATGTTACTTTAGTCTGGGATCTTGAAATCTGCTTATAACTTTAACTGTTACAAAATGTAGTTGCAGACAATCAATTACTTTATTTACAGCAACATAATTTTTTCATGTTGTCCATCAGGGCCTTCTCGTCTGCTGTCCCAACAAGTTGCAGTCTCAGTAGCTGTGAGGAACGTCCACTCTGTATTCAAAGCTAAGTATACACTATTTTAAATGGTTTACTGGACAGTGAGAAAGGGTTAACTGCTTGGGCAGGGTATGAAAAATTGTCTTGGTCTAAGACAAAGTACGGAAAGTGTTGCTTTCTCATCACCAGATATAGGTACTTCCCTCCTTCGGTTTTTACTGTTTTATATTTTGTCTGTCAGCACTAAAGTAGGCAGAGAAGAGCAAATTTGAGTACTGCAAAGGTTACTCAGCTTTTCTAATTTTAGCCTTCACTTGACTAGTTAATTTTCTGAGCACTTCAGGCTTATGCAGCCAGCAGGGAAAGAAGGAATTTCATTTAAAATTACAACTTTCATAAGGGGGCATAAGTAAACAGTTAGGGTTTCTCCGGCCAGCAGGAAGAGAAACACTCTCCGTTTTCTGTGTTATTGTTTTTTAACTTCTTATGCTAAATGGGATGTAAAGGGTGTTATGCTGTGGGTCTACTAACTGGAATTTATTTGTCGCCAAAGTGTCCTTTTGATCATGAGGTAGCTCACATGTCTCGACAGATTTGCCCACCGAACCAAGTGTTCACAGAGTAGTCTGTGCCAGACCACTGTTCACTGGGACTTCAGGTTACAGATATAGTTCTTGGTTTTTAGCCCCATGGGATATGCTCTTTAAGCCGAAAGGGTCTTCGGGTTCCACTTAAAGGAACAAATATTCAGATTGGTACTTACAGTAATGTTTTGTTGTGTAATTATTTGCCTCTGGTTAACAAGATGGTAGTGGGAGGTGGGGGAGGAGGGTGAGGGTGAGGGTAGATTGATTGAGAGTGAGGAGG